CACACCCACACCCACACACCCACATCCTCAAGTTCTATGTCAATAAAATAATTATAACACGATAGAGAAGCATTCAATGTAATATCGAATTCTTTTGGTAAGTCGGACTTTGTCGATTCGATATCTTGGCTTGGCCTATGAGGGTGACATGAGCAAACTTCTTAGTGCTCGAAGGCTAATTAGAAAAAATAAATCAAGCTTCTGCACAGGAGACACAACCTTAGAGTGACACTGCCCAAACAATAAAAATACAAGATTTTCAAGCCTATGAAAAAGACATGCAGATGATCTGTGAGTAAGAATGACTCAGCAATTTATTTATATACATCCAGCGTAACACTCACGTCGAAGCTCACTAGCAGTATATCTCATTTTGTCGATTCTTTATCACCGTTGACAATTCTGTCACTGCTCAATACTTTTATTTTCATATTTCTTCATGAATTTCGCCGTCATTGGAGGGATTATCGATAGATGAAATAAATGTATCACGAACGGAACTATTTTCTTGTTGATGTTGTTTACCACGAAATTTGAAATCCGAAACTTGCAAGTGAATGATGTACTTATTCAAAATTTGATCGTGTTCAACTTTCTTAACCATAAGAAACGTTTGAACACCGAGTAGAACTTCTTCCTCTTCAGGAAATTGTGATAATGAGGAGATATCAGCAAGGCATCCATCTGGATTAGTTGGTACATGAATATGAAAGATAGTATTGCCATCATAGAGAAGTGCCATCGATTTATTTTTCGTTGTGCTTGAAAATGCTTCCCATGAAATATATTTACCTATGAATTGTTATATAACTTTCTATCATTTTATCAGTTACATTGGCATTGCGATATAGAATAGTTTCTGCTTGATGGCAATCTAATGGAGGACATCACTTAAGACAATCTGACAGTAAACCACAATACGGTCCCAATAATCTTGCATAAGTTTTGTCTTGCTCTGTCACAAATTCACCAAAATTATGCTCGGCATTTCTCATAACATGATTGACGACTTTGTATAAGAAACTCTCCATTGTATATAAACGAATTAAATAGTGAATGATTGACTCCTGCCGACCAAAGACTATCTCAGATATTTGCTTGAGTTCTTCGGCAATATATTCAGCTTCCTTTGCTTTACCAGCAATGATACCCAGTTCTCGAATGCCATCAGTAATTCGCCAAATGGTTCTTGGTTCTAATGGTATATTGTCACAACCAGTGGCACTTAAGAACGAGTTCGGCCCTGGGTTAAAGGATTTCTCGATCAATTGTGGCCATTCCCAAACAAATCGATGAATTCTGACATAAATATTTGTGTCAATCACGTTTGTTAGTCTTTTTACTGGACATTGCTCGTGAGAATCTTGTTTACTAATTTTAATTTGACGCTTAAGATCAATGACAAACTCGTCTAGTTCGATCTGCTCCATGCCTCGTTCATATGCATTTTCAATCATTCGATTTTCAATATCTGTATATCGTTTCCATTCGTTGTCCTTCGATGAATTATCAATGGACTTCCACACCCATACTCTAAGTTCTTTTTTGCCCTTCTTTCAACAAGACACTTTCTTCAGTCATATTTGGATGAAATCGAAATACTGATAATCAAGAGATTGAGAGAGAATTGTAAGGTAGATTGAACATTGTAACTTGAAATCCTATCTAGAAAACAAGTAAGGGTAAGAAAAAAAATATTATTCACTGAGAAGTAGTTTCATTTGTAATCATGAATGAATCATAAAAGAGAAACTGATCGAATAGGACGAACGGGTGAGAAGTATGAGTGAATGGCAGGGGAGCTGATGATTGGATAATTAATTCTGTCAACAAACTATGGAAATGGAATTTGTGTAGTTGTTGTGAGATGTTGGATAATCTTTACTCATATTTGTGTACGACGGCACTATTTATCGGCTAATGGACCAGCTTATCATGATCTAGATATGGATGTGAATGAGGCTGTCATTGAGCAAAATCGACTGGGATGAATTGAAAAAATGATCAACTTTTTTGATCATTTATACATCTAGAAACTGTGTCATCGAACAAACCCATTGAAAATTTTGAACCTATGCCTGGTGCAGGGTTGCCAGATCTTCTGATTTGGCAGAAAAAATTCTGATTTTCGAGTTTTTTCCCTATACCTTTCTGATGTTCCGATTTTTTCCGATTTTCAACTTTTTTCTGATTTTTGGACTTTTTTCTAGGTTTTGGTTTTTTGAGTATTTAACTAAATTTTAATATAACGCTATCTTATTATTATACGTTTAATGTACTGTGACTTCTTTACTTGCTAGTAGCTATTGGTTAGTCTCTGTATTATAAGATTACTAATCGATACTTGTATGTGCTGAAAAATCTTCCTTGAATGAGACCAATATGATGCATCAAGGAAAAGAACTTTTAATTTAGTGAAACGTTTCCCGATCTTTATGGTCTGATTATCGTAATCGTATGGATATTGAATTGGTTGCTGCTGAATTGAAAATTAGAATGAATGCTGATTACTCTTGTCTCAAAAAGATTTATTAAAGCGAATTCGAACAAATGAAAAATATGAACAAAAAAAGCGTAATAATACTGAATGATATTGTGTATTTTCTTTCGTATGATTGTTTCGAAATGTATATATGTGTGTAATTTATTTTCTGCTTCTTTTTTTTGTAAAGTTTGCTCAGAGTCTTTCGAACTAAATGACATTGGCATGCTGTTCATGAGAACTGAACTTTATTTATATATTATTTTTATTAGTTTTCTTTATTGTGAGATACATTTTTAAGATGATGTACGTAAATGAAGAGAAGCATAACAAAAAATATTGTATCAGTAGAAAAACATTAGAGATTTATGCACAAAAACAGTTTTCCGACTTTTTTCCGATTTCGAGAAAAAAAATTCCGGACCTTTTCTGATTTTGAAAATGAAAATTCCGATTTTTAAGTTTTTCATCTGGCATCCCTGGTCTGGTGTCAATTCTTGAACTCCAGTTTATTTTCATGAGGTAATTTTCCAGCAACATCTTCAAATATTGCCAATCAAAAGTATATGAAACCGTGTTCGATCGTTGTTCTCAACATGTCAACCGAGCGACATTGTTGACAAGGATGCTTTTGATCTGATAAAATAAAAATTTTCTTCAAAAACAATTATTTAGTTGGCACTAGCTGCTGCAAATGTCAAGGGGGTGGATGAGGAGAGGTAAAATTTTACATCTCTCTTGTTTGCTCTTTGCAAACAGGTCGACGATTTATTATTGTCGCCATGGTTGTACTCGATTTCGCCGTTGGTAATTGAACGAAAGTACATTGAAAACTTGCCAACGAAAGCGTTTTGATGCGACATAGTAGCAGTGAAATGACATCTGAATAAACAGAGAAATCGCATGTTTTTACATTTGGGCCAAGTTCTCATACGGGATATATTCCATAGCCCAGAACATTAAAAAAGTGCTGAACTATTTGTTCCTGTGCTAGGGATCTGCAAAATGACTTTTTTCCAGTCCCGGTCCCGGCTCCGGTCCTGATCTTGAGGGTGTGAATGTGGGTGTGGGTGCGAGGGTGTGGATGTGGTTGTGGACGTGGATGTGTGTATCATTTCTCTCTTACTCACACACCCACACCCACACCCACACCCTAATAAACGCAGCTGTTTGCATGAAAGATTAAATATCCAAGACATATCAAATCTGAAATACCTCATTTATATAAGCAAAATTTTCTATGATAATGAATAGTGATCAACAGCACAACGACAGGTACAACTACAACCACAACTACAATTACAAGTACAACCACTACACAAAAACCATGTAAGCATTGTATTAACATTTTTCGTCTTGATAAATACTACTTTTTAACGCAGCAAAAGTAGCTTTTAATGTAGTATTAATCTATAGCCAACTATAGATTAAATTGAGAAGATAAATACACTGATATTATGAATGATTTAATATTTACCATTAGTAAAACTCAGGTAATAGTAATCTTCACATTAGTTAGCTATCTTAATTATCGAAGTTTGATTCGTTTTCTTGACAGCTATAAAATTAAATCCATCTTCACCTGAATACAAATGATCTTAAATTCAAATGCATCGATGCTATCGAACATCTTTTTGGAAGCATTTAATTCGTAGTATTGACTAAAAAAGATCTCAAAGAGCTTCTTTTTCGTTTTCGGTAAAGAGTAAACATACCATTGGCGAACAGCATAAGATCCATTGAAAGTTAATAAATCGATCATTTGGAAAAATCGTAAAAATAGCTCAAGAGAAAATTCTGATTGTTATGTAGCTTTCATTCATATTACTTACTACGTAGATACAAATTAGCTGCGATTACTTGACGTATGTGAAAACATATTCACGTGTGTTCTCTAAAATATCTTTAGTAGTGATTCATTTAACATCGATACAATATTCAAATAAATCAAGCACATCAAGAAATACGTGTAATTGAAGATTCTATATGGATCGCACAGAATATAGAATTTCACACCATCAATTGTCTCCTTCCTTCATTAAACATTTAGTTGATAGAGGATAGGGGTGTCAGCGTTCCCCGGAACAGGGAACAGGAATGCGACAAGTGCTTCCTTCCCCTTAAGGGGGCCCCCCACCTCAAAAATGGAACTTCGACAGGGTACATGGGATATTGATGAAACTTTGCATGGATGTTGGGCTCATGAAAGTACATTGCCAAAAAAAATTTCACGCCCCTATCTCTTACCGTTCTGGAGATATCAGGGTATCAAGCTGAAAAACAGGGCTCTCAGGCAAACAAAGATTTCATCACTATAGTACATGCTGCAGAGATCGGGTTGGTTTTATTTGAAAGATAAATCCTTGCTGCTTCGGATGAGGGAAAGGGTTTTTTTCAATTTTGCTTTATTTCATTTTTTAGATCATCGAAATCTCAAAAATCTGAAAATCGAAGGTATGGCTTTCTAGAAAACTGAGAGTTTCTCTACGATTGACGAGTATGTAAAAAATCCATTCCCCTCATCCGAAGGACTATGTATGTATCTATCAATCAAAAAAAACCGCAGCTCTCTAGAGCGAAGTATAGTGGAGAAAAATTTGTTCTACGTTTGATCATTACATCAAAAACTGGTTCTGAGAAAAACCTAAAAACATTTTTTTTGCACAATATCTAGCTATGGTGCGAGATCAACACAAAGCATGGTCATATCATATATTAACTGCTAGAATTAATCAAAGTGCATAGAACTACGCCACTGCTGACACTTACAGTTGACAGTGAATGGAATAGTCGACAGTTTTTCTTTGGTTTTTGCTTAAATTCTCATATGAATATTACAGGGGGCACTTGAGAAAGTTTTAGTATATCTGTCGAAATCTTTCAAAATTGAAACTTTTTTTTATGAATATTGACAGTAGACACCTTGGCCGATATGTCTGTAAGCTTATCTCAAAAATCGTTGTCTTTGACGAAAATCGATTTTTCTGAGGTGGGGGGCCCCCTTAATAGAACGTTTTCAATTCCATCGAATTAACGACAGCATCTTACAAATTAAACGCTTTTACAAAAATTGACCAAAGGTAACTGAGATTGGGAAAACCGAGTCTGTAATCGGTTTCTCAAAATTTTGAGTTTCAGTGTGTCGTCATGGAAAATTTTTTTTCGGAAAATAGTAATTTTTACAATGTGTGACCGAAGTAATTGAGGTCGGGAAATTATAATCTGGAATCGGTTTTCCGGAATTTCAAGTTTGTTTTTTTCAAGAAAAGTCACTTTTTTTCAAAAACGCATACACTATAAGTCAAAAGTATCCTCTTCGGATCTCAGCTACTATACAAGCTGTTGCGCTTAAAGTTGTAGTTTATAGGATTCTCGATAAACGCAGATTAATGGTGAAACCTGTGTCCCGAAAGAATGAGTCACGAGAAAGTTATTAGCCAAACTATCTATGACCATTGTGGAATCTATAACTTGACAACAACGAAAACTTTTGAGCTCAAGCCTTCATTCTTCTCATTTCCTGTATATTGCCTATCTCTGATGAGAGTTTCGTTAAAATTCATTGAGCTCTTGTGAACTTTAACTCAGCTCACTAAAGACATGAGCAACAGGGGAAACTGTCAATAAAAATGTGTTTGCCGCAATGCAGTCTGGACTTGACATATAGATCTCGAACTTACAGCTAAGGACGTCCCATAGATATGTAGCATGCTCTAAACGTTTCATCCTTATATCACTTACTAGAGAGAAACGGTTATCTATGGTATTGTCTGTCCTGAAATTTTCAGAACCATAGCTACTATAAAAATGGAAAACCACGTCATTCTATATCTGAAGAGTAAAGCCATGGAAAATGAGAATAGTATAGCATAACAAGCTGTGCTTTGTAACTTGAATAGAATATCGTAAGAACTACTCGTTGTATTAAAAGCATCATCCGAATTTTGTCGAATCGCAGAAAATCAGCATAGAATTCACACATCATTGTTTCTGACTAAAGTTCGATCAGAACTTACGAACTTTAACTGTCGAAAATATTTGTTTTTCATTGTTTTGCAAGATAATTTGCTTTAATTTTAATCCCCAAACAGTATTCTGTAAAAGCTGTGCTGGCTTTCTGCAATTTGACGAAATCCGGATGATATTTTTAGTACAAAGAGTATTTCTTACAATATTCTAATCAAGGTACAATGAACAATTTGTTATGCTGTACTATTCTGATTTCCTAGGGCTCTCGATCTTTAGATATAGAATGACGTGAATTTCCATTTCTATATTAGCTAAAGTTCTGAAATTTTCAGGACATACAACACCATAGATAAGCAGGGTGTGGGTGTGAGGTGAGTGTGGGGTGTGGGTGTGGGTGGGTGTGGGGGTGTGAGTGTTGGTATGGGTGTGGGGGTGTGGGTGTGGTTGTGGGTGTGGGGTTGTGGGTGTGGGTGGTGGGTAGGTATGGGTGTGGGTGTGGATGTGGGTGGTTCTTCTGCTCTTTTAATCACATATCCACACCCACACTCACACCCACACCCACACCCACACCCACACCACACCCACACCCACATCCACCCACACCCACACCACACCCACATCCACACCCACCCTCACACCCTGTGCAGTCGTCTTGATCTTCAGATGCGTTAGATGAGCAAGATAAAAAGGCTTTGCTAATATCACATTCATTTTCTTGATGGAATAGATACCCAAAAGTGAGAGCGATTGTAAACGAGCAAACAGATCAAAAGTGAAACCATAAGCCAGAAAATAATCCGATAGACCAGGAGTGTCATCTTCGTTAGAGAGGCAAAGTGAAATAATCCGATCGGTAATGGATGGTAGATAGTTTTCACACACTAGATCAAAGTCACGTTTCGATATTGATCGAAAATTGAAATATTAGTTCAGAAAATGGACCAAGAGAAGTGTGTCGAAACGACGATTGAGATTGTAAAATGCACGAAAGATATGAACATCATCAAGAAAAACGAATAAATCGAGTAAGAACTCGTTAGGCAACAATTCAAATTTCATCTATATGTTTGTATATGACGGAAAGTATCGTCACTTTTACCTTTTTGTTTTTATTTACGTTTGTTTTTTACCACGTTTAGCAATCGATATTCATCGAGTGAGTGACAATTTTTCTATTCTATTATGATATCGACAAGAGAGAAGAGGTAATTTTTTTTCTTGTTGGTTTTTTCCTTTTCTCTCAAATCAATTTGAGACTGTACTACTATGAGTAATATGATTCGTTGGCAAGAATACGAACAGACAACCTTGCAAAGCAGCAAGCAGAAGTTACTTCCTCAAAAAATAAATTCGAAACTTCGTTCGATCAATTTCACACAAAAGAACCAAAATAGAAACTAATTATCTATCGAATTCGAAATTCAATGATTGAACTGTATCAATCCCTACTAATGTATGAATGAAACAATATTGAATCTTCTTTGAGAGCGATCAACATTCTAGTTGTGAAATAGTTATTGTAAAAAAAATTCGATAGTTAATAAGGAAAAATTTTCATCTCCTGAATAATTCAATCTCGTGGACTCGCCATTATTTCATATAGTTAAATCAACTGTTTTCTGATGATGTTCGCTTAGTATACAGGCAAAGTTCGTACGACTATTCGTATTCTTTATTTCGAATGCATCTCTAGGATAATCAAGTTTGATACATTATGCCAACATTGTCTTGTTACAGCAAAAGTAGCAGAAGCGCATTACTTATAACACTTGTCACACATGGTTTCGTTCTCTTTTTTTCCAATTTTGCTTTCTGTATCGTTGGGTGTAGTAACAAATACTTATACCCATACCCACAACCACACCCACCATTACGAAGGAAGTTCTTCAATTGATGACATCCTATTTAGTTGAAATTATTTGCATTATGTAAACCCATATGAGCTACGAATACTCTGAAAAGAGTTCATCCTCTCAATCAATTGTTGTCAACATACTACAATTTTTTGGTATTTTTAAATGAGTGGCCAATTGAAAGAAAAACTAATTTTTAAATTTCGATTTGAAGGCAGATTTTAGTGTAAATGTTTCAGGCTTGGGTGCTGTTCGTATCCACAGATACGACTACAGTAATAATGTATCTTTTATATAGGGATAGATTTGATGTTCTCTTTTAATCTACAGATGACTATAAAATCTATGGTTTGCCTTTAATTGAATCATTCATATTGGTTTTATTTTTAATAGGTATTGTCATAGCAGTACATGGTTATGAAGATGATAAAGGTATATTTATTGTTAAAGATTATTGTTTTAAAGATCTTTTGATTCCAAAACAATTATCATCATTAAAAGAGGATAAGTAAGAATAATATATAATTTTCATCAAAAAAGTTTTCAAAAATCTTTTTGTTAGATTTTTCTTATTTGCTTCGGGTTTTCTTCTATCTGAAACTTCAATAATATTTAATCAACTTGAATATCTTGTAAAATTCATTAACTCAATCAACAAATATTCAATCTGAACAAATAAAGTTTCTTTTAAGTAATATTATTCGATTCGGTTGTGGCTGAAAATTTAATCAAAAGTTCAAACTGTTTAAAAGATACAACAAATCAAGTTAGTCAGATTGTGTTTTTCTTTCTTCAATGTTTATCATTAAGATATTTTTAGAGGCTAAATATTTCACAAGACAAATGGCAGCAAGTAGTGTGGAAGCAATGCATAGTATCGATGAATTACTTGATAAAATTGCTGTATATTTTTCCTTTCTTATCTATTATGTTATTAGTTCCTTTTTCATAATTTGATTTCTTATACTATTACTGATATTGATATAATGCCCGGTGTAAATGATCCATGGTAAATTGTAGAAAAACGAGAAAGGAAATACTTTTTAAAACATAAAATTTTCTCCCTTTTAGTTGTTATATGTTACCGCAACAACCATTACATCCCTGTATGTTTCCATCATCGAGTAAACGTAAAACGACACTTTGTCTTGCCAATCCATATGATTTTCAAATTGGTGATATTCGATAATAAAAGTTTAGTTTTATTAATATTGTATAGAAGATGATTTTTTTAATTAGTTTTCTTGCAAACATCAGGACAAAATTTAGATGATATTTATCCTCTATCAACTATTGATGATCGTGTTCAGATACTTGAGAATTGTCTTAAATTGTGTGCTATTGCACCAATATGTCCTGATACATTAAGTATGATAAAATAATTATTTGATAGGAAAATTAATTTTCCTATTTTAGGTTGTTATCCATACGTTAAAAATGATCCACTCATAATAACTGATATACCACATGTCTTCTTTGCAGGAAATCAGCCTAAATTTGAAACTCGTGTCTTTCAAGATATCATTATTACCTTTTTAATTTTCTTAAAAGAGATGGCTCACATGATGCTAAATTGTTCAGCTCGCACATAGATACTAACTAATTCAAAGTCAGATGTAAATTATGAAGTAGATAACATTCTATTAGATAGGTCATCCAAGACAAATAGTAGTCAGGAATATAGCTACTCAATTATGCTGTATATAATTGAATAAAACAAAAAATTTTAATGTTGCTTAGGTCCACATGATATTCAAGTTCGTCTTATCTGTATTCCATCTTTTGCTCAATCGAATTCATATATTGTACTGAATTTACGTACACTTGAATGTTGTGAAATATCATTTCAAAATAAAATACCACAAATAATTCAATGAAAAATGACAGTAGATTGGCGCTCTATCTAGATATAAACTAAATATTCATTTATTCTTTTGTACTTATGTTCATATTGTAAAGAAAAACAAGATAAATAAACTTATCGATATTGACAAAAATAATCACATATTTACAGAACTTTATACAAATATAAAACAACAAGCTGAAAAATCTTTGACAAATCTTGTTCAACATGCATATGAAATAGAAAATCTTCTTAAAAAGAATTTTTTTTTTCAAATAATGAGGTCATAAATATTGACAAAACAAATTTATCAAATCATCATATGAATTTAATGATTCAACCTGTTCAAAATTATTTACAGGGTTTTATTGAAATAGTTGAACATTTAACAGTTTGGCTTGAATTAGAAATTCCATCTTACAATGATAGTAATGATTTTTGTATTGTTGTACAAAATGAAATACTTGATGAAATAGCTTAAATGAAATCAACTTGTATTACTTGTATGAGTCAAATTATTGATTATCATGAACAACGTGCTATAGCTAATTAAGAATTATTTAAACGGCCACAATTTGATGATAACTGTCATTTAATTTCTACTCTTGACTATCAATTGTATAGAAATTTAAAATTAATGCTTCTAAAAACAAAAATCTTATATATTAAGTATATGCAATTTATTGACAAAAAATAAAGATTTAATTAATAGACAATCATCTCATCATCAACATGCCAATAATTATTTTTAGATAAAAACCTTTTATTGGTAGTAATTAGTAACTGAACTGAATGTATACCGTTACAAAGAAAAACAACTTGTCTTATAATATTTTTGAATTCATTGGCAAATATTTCCTAAGATGAATGAATGATTCAGAAAAAATACACAAAAAAAACGGATAACTAGAGCATCATTGAATACGTACTATTTTGTGATCAGTTTAGCTTTAGTACCTTTGTAATGTTAATACTATCTGAAAAAGGCAAATGCGATAAAAACTGGGGTATGTGCACGAGAAGAAATGTACCCACACTGACTATTAACAGTATGTAAAATAGTTTGGTTCTTCGGTTCGTTAAAAAACGAGTCTTCTTGCATGTCTTTTTTATAAGTGTGGGAATCATTGTATCTTATGAAATCGATGATCACCATAATGATGCACGCCTTTCTAAGGTATCTTTGAATTCTATCTTGTAGAATTCTTTTTGTAAAATAAATATACTTTTAATCATTGCTTTATCAAATCAATTCTAATAGAATTGAGTGCGGGTTAGAAAAATAAAACTAATTGTTAGTCTGCGCTAATCTATCAAAGAGCCTGATACATAGTCAAAGTAGCAATAGGTCGCATGAAGTTTTTATGTGCAAAAACAAATCATTTCCTTTTTCTTCGCATAAGTGTCCAACACAGTTTATTTATGAAAACTAATCGTTTTTTTTACTTGAGTGAAAAGTCTGAAAGCATGAATAATTCGGATGCTTGCGTAATTATTAACGGCTGTCTTTGTTCGAACATACGATTAGAGAGCTTTATTTAAGAATTGCTATTACTTGATAAATGTTCATTCTTACGAAAATAGTTTTTTTAAATTCTTTCTTTCAATTTTAATAATGTTCTAATGTAATACTTATAATTATTTTCAGAGATGTGCAAATACAGATGCAACCTGTAATCGACTCATCATATATTATCTGAGATGTCCTCCTATTTTCCTTGAACTTCAGAATTTGTCTAAGTACGTGTCATTATATGAATTCTAGAGAGGTGTAAATACAGATGTGAGTGTAGACAATAGTTTTTACAAAAGGAACATCCACACCCTCAAAAAGCTATATTTTTCAGTAGATGTTATGGATTTAGTCATTGAATCAATATATTATTTAGAAGCGAATCATCGTTCTATTGATGTTGTTAATGAAGAAAATATTTTACATCATAGTTGATAAATTTTAATTTATTTTAGTTAAGAAAAGAATTTTTATATTAAGAATATAAAATAATCCATATTTTTGGTACTCAAATCTTTCAAAATATTTGAGAATTAATAATGCTAGACAAGGTTAAATAATTCTTTAATAGAGTTTATTTATTAAGATTTCTAATTTTATAAGTAAAGAAGGAATTATCAATTGCAGATTAAACTTATCACAATAGAAAACAATCAGGTGTTTTAATCTTGTATAAATTGATATTACTATTATTGACGACTTTAATGCTGTTGTTTTTTTATCAACATATCTGTCTAGTGAGAATCTATCTAATATACTGAGTCCGTTAGTTTTCAAGGTTCACAGTTAATACAAAAATAGTATAAATCTTCTTGAACGGAAGAAAGTAAATTTATCAATGCTAAAATTTATGATCGAAAAGAAGCATAGTACTTTCATTTTCTTTTTACCTTTAGAAAGAAAAAAAGTCAAAAAAGATATTTGTTGTTCATATTCTAAGACAAAAAGCTATATCTTCAGTGTTGTTATATCGAGAAAAGGTTAGTCAGACTGAATAGAAAGTATTGTATCTTCTATTCATATTTTAAAAAATGAGTAAAGTAAGTCAATTTTCTTCAACTTGTTCCAAATAGTAGAAATTATTTAGTCTGATCATCATCGTAATTTTCATCATTATCTACTAGATTATTTGATGAAAAATGAACCAGCAACATTAGCTATTGGGCTATCTACTACTCTTCCGGATGCGTGTAAATAGAAGACTCACACGTTAAATTCTTTTCTTCTTAATATATGTACAACGTGACTTAACACGTGCTTCCAAACATACAAACTCAATCTATTTTTATACAACACTTTTTTTCAGTCGACTGAATAAGATAAGAAAGTGATTTTTTTTGTTTTGTTTTTCTTTTCTTTTTCTCCAGATGCAAACACAAAGAATTTCATTTCTTTCAACTGCACTTTCTTTTTTCTGCTTCTTACACTTTTCAACAATAATAAACTCGTACGCATTGCTATCAAAAAAATACAAATAATTTATACATGGGTAAGAAGAAACTACAGTTCTAAGAGCCATTGCACAAAATGAACAACAAACACTATTCAATTGATGT